AATTATTGAATACGCAAATGTAGTTTGGGATAACTGCACACTGGCTCAAAAAAGTTTATTGGAATCCATACAACTTGAGACTGCTAGATTAATCACAGGTTTACGTAGAGGGACATCGCATGATAAATTATATAGGGAACTAGGATGGGAAACTTTGAGTAGCAGAAGATATAAACATAAACTTATCTTAATGTATAAAATAATAAATAATGAAACTCCAGATTGCTTAAGTGAAATGATTCAACCATATATACATGATGAAACCCAAGACAGATATCCCTTGCGTAAAAATAGAATTTTTGATCCCCCATTGTGTCGCACAGTAAATTACTGCGAAAGTTTCTTTCCATGCATGTTTAATGAGATTAATAGACTTGTACCAGATATAAGTAATATCCATTACACATCTCAGTTGAAAAGGTTATTGAACAGGAATAAATATGTAGACTCTGAAACAAATTATGCTTTTAGATTTCTAGGTAATCGTGATAAAAACATTATACTGTGCCAGTTAAGAAATAACGCTAGTAATCTTAACTATGATCGTTTCAAAGATCATCTAATAGAATCTCCGATGTGTGAGTGCACTCAATCTTGTGAAACTACCCTACACTTCTTCTTTGAGTGCAATAGATATACCGATATTCGACAGAGGCTACGACAGAACTTGCATCATGATGCTCATAATCATTTATGTGAAAAGGTTTTATTACATGGTTGTGTTCTTTGTAATGATATACAAAATAGAGTCATCCTATCTCATGTTTCAAATTTTATTTCACGTTCTAAGAGATTCCCATTTTTCAATGCCTAATGTACAATCATTATAATGATGCATGACTTTATTTCCAATACGAAGAATTATCTAATTGAATGTAGCATTGTAAACATCCTATATGTACTTTCAGAAATTCCTATTTATCAATTAAACCCCCAAGTTGACTACTACCATAGCAGTATTACACATACCTGATGTATTATTATGAATAATCATCTCTTACAATTACTGTTGAAAAATCAGGATAGATTAAAGTGTTACTAATAATGTTATAGTGCTTTGGTCTAGTAAGTTAACTGACCGTTGTGGCCCATTGACCATTTGTAAGTGTTGGGCAGTAATTGATTATTAATTCCAGATTGAAAACCTATTTATAGCAATTTTAGTCTTTATTTTCTTATATGGTAAATTTATATACAGTCATTAGATTTTTAATCACCGTTCTCTTTCTCAAACGACACGCATATCAGTCTTTCGATATTTATTTAGAATTAGGTATAGTAGAGACAAATAATGAACTACATTGCATCATATAGCTATTTTGTTTTCGTCAGTGATGCTATATCACACAGTTATTACATAGTACGTCATTCTAGGACTCGTCAGTGATTCTACATAGTGTAGCTGGTTAGTCCTCTTAGGACTCGTCAGTGATGCTGCATCATACAACTGTACCTTCCCCCTAAAACTCGCCAGTGATGCTGCATCATCAAGCTGTAACGTTCTTCTAGGACTCGTCCGTGTTGCTACATCATACAAGTGTTTCGTCCCTGTAGGACTCGTCAGTTATACTACATCACTCGTCAGTTATACTACATCACACAGCTATTTCGTCATTCTAGAACTCGTCAGTTACACTACATCACACAGCTATTTCGTCATTCTAGAACTCGTCAGTTACACTACATCACACAGCTATTTCGTCATTCTAGAACTCGTCAGTTACACTACATCGCACAGCTGTTTCGTCCTTCTAAGCCGCGTCAGTGATTCTACATCGTACAACTTCTAGTCTTCCTCAGCAATGCTCTATCATACGGTTGTTTTGTCCTCCTAGGATTAGTCAGTGATGGTAAATGACAAAATACCCCACCTTTTTATTGGTTCATAATGGAAGGTTAAGAAAATGGAAATGTTCCAGACCAGAAGAATATGAACATGATATATATAAAATATAGTAAGTAATATCGACAGTATGGTCCAACAATGAAAAGTTCGTTGGATGCGAATTTCTGGAATATATATATATGATCACTGAAGTAAGAACGACAGCGCGGACAAGTGAATTGTCAAATTTGCGAGGCAATCTGCCCCATCATCAAAAAGTAACAAAAGTTACATAAATTACATCATAAACATAGAATATAAAACAAATACAACATTATTAACTAAAATCTATGTATGTGGTGTATTTTATGTAATATTTTTATCTTGATAAAGTGGCAGACATTATTACTTCATTGATAACATATATATACATAATATGCCAGCAAATATGCAGGAAGGGAATTCTTGATTAACAAACTGGTCTATCTGTTCCGTAGACGCGCATCAGTGTTAACAGGACTTTGTAATAACTTGTGTACGGATATAAACAGATGCTTTGTTTACAAATCGTTTACATATCAAAAAAACCCTGGTTTTATTCACTTGGTATTTTCAGACGTGTAATGCTAATTTCTAGCCGCAACTATCACGACGTATTAAGGTAAAGATTAAGACCGTGTATGCATAGAAAATGTTGCGCGATGACCGCAAAAAGGCACATATGTTTATTGTAAATGTTCTGTGTATAGTGTAGCGATACACACACCACTTACATCACTCATTTGCATTGCAGATCCAGTGAAGTTTGACGAAGCTTTTGTAAACACACGTATTGCTCCGTGTGATCAGGAAAAGTTGGGGCTCTGTATTACAAGGTATTTTTTTTCTGTCATAACGATAATTATATTGATATAGTTTTTTTGTATTTTGTGACCCAAGATAGTAGTATTAACATTAGTTTTAAGCTACATCTGGCAGTCGATGTTTTAGGACATCTCACATAAGATATGTAGTTAATTTTGAAGCTCATTCTTAATCAGCAATTATAATGTAGGGAACACCGGTGATGTAACAATGAGTTCAATAGATAGATGTAGCAAAGGCCTTTAGCAAAACTAATCCAATAAAACATTGACACGAGTGAAACATTCTGTTTATCAATATAACCCAAATTGCTATAAACACTTATTTCGACTTGGATACATCTTTAAACAATCTCGACTATCATGTGACCTATTTATGAGTCACAATATTGGTATAATATGTGTCCTACGATATCAATGACATGGCCGGCTGATATGACAAAATATTCACACACTGTTATGTATACACAGCAAATTGGCCGTTTCGTGGGTCATCTTAGGAGATCGATATCACATAGCTCGGTGATAAATGATAATGAACATTATTAATTTAAATGTGTATCTTGTGTTATCGCTGAACAAGTTTCTTTTCTCATCTTTCTTGCTTGAAAGTCTGAAAACAAAATCGACAATCAGACATCAGTGAACGCCAGATATGTGTAACCAGAAATAAGTGTGTGTCTCTTACATATTGCATTCATCTACGAGTGATAAAATCTTCACACAACCACGTGGCCATTCAATTGAAAGATATGTACATATGAAAATCTAGGCGTGAATAACAGTCCTTGACACAACCACGTGACCATAATATGTTGTTACAACGTAGTTTGTTTCCTTGTGATCTTCTCCTTTGCAGACGCGGGTTTGTAATGCGATATGGTCGTCACTAAACATCTTTATTATATGAGCTAAAACTGTACTGATCTATTACCCCTAGAGTTTACAGGTATTATGCAATACTTGATAGGCGACAAGAATCTTTCCACCAAAAACAGGTCTCCAATCACGTGACTCAAATATCTACTTACGTATAGTAAGTTGAGAATTCATTGGGACTAATGAAACATTTGTAAACTACAAAATTATGTGTCCATCTCTTTTATAACATTCAGGATATATTTATACTGCTGAAACGGGGTAATAATATATAGTATTAGTAAAATGACAATAAAGTATTTCCTGTTTCGAAAAAGAACCGTTTTAACAACGCTTGTGAAACGTTTTATTCCAATTGTTTGATACAAGATCATATCGTGTTGCTATGCTACGTTAAAAATACGTGACATAGACGTTGCAAGCGAGACGGTGAATTTCACAACTTTTAATGGAGAAATAAGCGTTTCCACAACGTCTGAAAAACGTTATATTTTTAATATAAAACGTATAGTTTTCATCCTTAAGGATTACATGTTGGATACACGTTTCATTAACTTTTATGGTTAAACTGAATTATTGGAATATTTGCTGAAAAAATCCGGCGATTCAATCACGTTTATTACACTTGTCGTTTTTATCTTTAGAAACTGTGTTTAACATTACAGAAATGCAACGTTAAACAAACATTATAGAAATGTTGTAATGCAACTGCATCGTTTCCAACCGTCTATGACGTTTCTGCAGCATATCTCTGCTAGCTGGGTTGGGGACGGACAAAGTCGCAGCCATTATTCTGCCGATCATGGGTCGTACGATTCGATCCAACAATAAATGTCTCCCTCCATCAGGACACTTTTTTTCTTCATTGTTCTTGCACAGGATCTCGTATCTTGCATACAGATTTCTCTTGTGCTAACATCAAGACCTGCTTCCGATTTTTAGCCTCTTTCCTGACAATATTATTTACATATCAACTTTTTGAAATATTAAACTTGCAATTCATGCTCGTGTAAGTAGACATGTTTTTACATTGGATGGCGCAACATCACAATCATCCGTAGAGAAGGGCATGCATTGAAGAATCACTATAAGCAATTATACATCAGTGGTTCATATTCGACAACATTCACAATGAAAATGTAGACACAGGCTTAAGCTTTTGAAGCACAAGAAAATAGCAACAAATAACAAAATGGGCTCATTCTATATTTCACCTAAAACCCAATATCTACAAAATACGAGATTATAAGAAAAAAAGACAATGATACCTTTGAAAAGTACAAGGGTGATATGTTCAGGTATTCCGGAAAGGTCAGCGTATTCTGCTTCATCGACAAATCCGATAAAGTAAGCGACAAATCTTGACTGCAAGCATAGAATTATACAAAGGTGTTTCCTTACAGATTCAAGGGAGAAGTTCACTTTACATCAAAATGTCGTCCGGAGGTTCAATACAGGGTCTGACCACATCAAAACTTGAGTTTAAGAGGGGGAGTACTCGTGACAGATTGATCCTAGCTTTGATAATTGTCGGGGGAATAGCACTAGTAATTGGTCTTGCAGTAGGGATCCCATTGTCTAAACGAGATGCTGTACCAGGACCAACCCATGACCCTGACCTAGCGTTCGCTAGATCGTTCTTACAAGACAATGTGTTAATTGACGGGTAAGTTCCTGTTTATTCACGTATTTAAAAGAATATCATAAAATGGTGACATTGTATTTGTTACCATTTTTTTTTCTAAATACTTTAGCACACACGTGTTCATAGATATGCATTTTGCATGTTTACCAATATATCTGTTTTACAAGCTGTTACTCTATATAAATTGTACATTGCATCTACTTCATTTTACCTATAGTCACAACGATCTCCCCTGGCAAATTCGACAGTATGAGCAAAACAAGGTGAACAACGTCAACCTAAATACGGATACTAGGAATGAATGGCCCCCAGGAACGCCTATGACAGATATGTCCTTTCCTGTACTCCCCCCTCAGACGGATATACCAAGACTCCTGGAGGGGGGTGTTGGTGCGCAGGTAAGTTGGTTTTCAACGTCGACATCTGCAAATGTACAATCAGGTTGCTCGTCTCCTAGCTCATCTGTCTGTGTCTGTCTGTCTGTCTGTCTACTCAGCCTGCATATTTTTAAAACTCCAACTATTATATGTGAGTTATGTCGATTTGCCTGGCCAATTCTTAACTACCCTACAGGATTCGATCTTGTTAAAGTTATCTTAACCAAATTTGTCAGGATATCTCTCCAAACATAACGGACAGGTGTGGCTGCTAGGCTTGTCGAACCAAAATGTTTTGACTCCTGAAACCGGTAACATATAAATTAATATCTGTGACAGATCAATATGCTTCATTAAAATTTCACTATTATCTATTGATCATATTATAAAAATATGACTTTTTGGTTTGGGATTCCTCGAGTATATTCCGTTGGTTTTTGTTGACATACTTTTACATAATGAAAGGTTTCTGATGGTTGAGGATAAGAATCTTCAAGTTTCGATCAAGGAGTGCGTTCAAGAGAAACGTCTTCATTTTCATTGTGTAACTCAAAGAGGGTAAAAAAGTATTTTACATAACGAAGTCTAATGGATTTCACCCCGTTGGTTTGTTTTGTACTTTCCTTTCCTTAATCAAAGATGACAAAATTGGCATGGGTTGTATATATACAACTGTAACTTTCACGGTGTCTCTACTTAAATACATTGCGGTGTTATTGTCTTGTGTCTTTTGTACAGTCCCATCAAATGTGTGTACCAATTTATATATATCTCTAGAAGTCGCTATTTATTTATCAGAGATAACGAAGGCATAAAATAAATTTCACATCACTTTAATGACCTCTACAAAATAAATTTGACAATATAGTGTTTTTTGTTGTGGTTGGCGATTGTGGCCATGGCTTCGTCACCAAGAGGTTACCGCCAAACATTGGGCTGCTCGGCCACCTCAAATAGATAGATGCGACAAAATCTATTAATTGTAAAATTTTCAAGATATGTACAGAAATGACTCTGTGAGTAGCCGTCATTCTGAATAGCTGTAATTATGTTAAATATATATACTGTATAGTTATTATTCCTGGTGGCGACCTCTAAACCGCCGCTACAATCACTAAACGGCAAGTAGAACCGAGTCTTTTAACAAAGTCTGTTACAACAATACCATATCCCTGGTGCTTACTGCCACAACGGAGTGAAGCCATGACGATGTGATGAAGTGATCCTGACAGGCCCAGACAGACTGCATATTCCAGACACACACCTGGCAATAAAATCAAATAATAATAATAATAAAACAGCAGCCAGCAGAAAAACAAACTTTGCGGAAGGTGGGAGGTTGAACAATTGATCGCCTCTGGTGTAACTTCCCCACAATGTGTAAAAACGATAAAAAGATGGTAGATAACTCTGATTATACCCGATCCAATAGGAATATTGGAGGCAACTCTGGATAGCAGATACTGGTATGACACCAAGGAGTGGCTTGCACTCTGATAAACTGATTTATTTATTATCAAATAAATCCCAATAATTTCATTTTCGAGAAAAAAGCCAGTTCAGCAATTTATCCCTTATTGAAATGCGTTAGATAATCGTCTGATGAAGACATATTGTATATTGATGTCATGAATACTTGAATTCTTATAGAAATATTTCAGTTTTTTTAACGGCTGACATTTTATTGTGAATCTAAGATATCAATATGAAAATCATAAGTGCATTATGTACAGGAAAGCTATATCAAATTGTTGACGTTTTAAGCATGTAGCCAATAATGAGAGACGCAAAAAGATATTTTTGGCAAACTTATATGACAGAAAGGATTTCTTTTTTGTTTAAGTTCGCATGTTGCATCAACCGAAAATACAAAGGAAATTCATGTTTATTGATCTTGCATAATGTATATCTATATATAGCATAGGGAATTTCGATCGCTCTATTTTCTCATAAAATGGTCCTTTTATGGATGTATTTCAGACGTTGTAACAGAGAAACCTTTAGTATTTTTCATTGTACTGTTTGGTTTCTTTTCTTATTATGAATTCGCATTTCAGTGGTGGGCGGCATTCGTCTCGTGTGCCGCTACAGCTAAAGATGCCGTGCGTCAGGGCTTTGATCAGGTCGATGTAATCCACAAGTTCACCGATAAATATCCAGAGGCCTTCACGTTGGCACGGTCTGCAGACGGTACTTAAGATATATGTACAGTACCTATTAAGCTAAGTCTAGTACATATAGCTTTAGGTCTAACCTACTGTTTTGTTATTGGTCCGTAAATAAAACATTTAAGGCTACTAGATTGGTATGATAGATTTTTTCATTCTAACTTTCCCGCAAGAAGTACAAGCAATTAAAACATACGTTATTTCTGTTTTGCAATGTTAAAGAGACGTTATAGTCGCAATAAATGTTGAGACACTAATATCTAGAGACTGCTGTCAAGAAAACAAAAAGTCGAAAACCATTGTTTTTGTGTTTTGTCCTTTTCATACAGATATAGTAAACATATTTGCGAACAATAAAATCGCAAGTCTGATTGGTTTGGAGGGAGGTCACATGATTGGTAACACCCTGGGCAATCTTCGTATGTATTACATGATCGGTGTCCGATACATGACCTTGACCCACAGCTGTGACAACGACTGGTGAGTATCTGTTTAGGATTATCTTTGTTTACTTCCATTTAGATATCATACCGTAGTTACAATTTCCCCGGAAAGCTTTCATGTCTTTATGAGCAACTCGGTGAATCGAATTCCGGTCTCCTTAAGTTCGAGGCTGGCAATAAGCCACTCGGCCACCCGTATATTACAATGTAGGTACCATTACATCGATAAAAATACTACAAATATTGTTTTCTGAACACAAATTCTTACAACTTAAGATTGTATTCTACAGTTTCCTAAAAGAAGGATTACTGTTAGTAATGGTAATTTTACTGTGTAATGTTAGTATCATCTTGTTCTGAGAATAGTAAATTCGATCGTTTTTTCCAGGGCGGATAACTACAAGGCAGATTTAAATGGAGGAATATCAAAGGGTCTTACAGACTTTGGAAAGGTTTGTATCAAACAAATTCAATAGCATTTCTTGATTTAAAAGGTATATTTTGATGCTTAAGGCATTTGTTTTGGCTATAATTGTCCAAACAAGATATAAAATGTTCAAGTTTGTGGAATTTAAAAAAAATAATTGGTGTGAGATTTGTATGCAATTTTTCCGTCAAATGCTTATAGTTATTGTCCCTTAATGATTGTAATGATTTAATAATTGTACCAGTTATACCATTCGTACTATTTATGCTCCCTAATAACATGGTAGCATGTTGCAGTCAGTTGATTAGATAATATCTGAATTTCACGATTTCCGTGATGGGAAAGTTACCGTTTATGTGAAGTTCCATGGTAACAGTCACAGTTCAACTGAATTGAGAATATCCTGCTTTGATTTCGCAATATGATTCGTTATCAACCTTGTCAACCCATCACTTTGGTGGACTTATACTTACGTAACGTTTGAGGACGATGAAAACGAACACGCTTATTCCTTTGCAATGCATGACCTTTAAGATAGAAACAGGATTTAATCCTGATCTAAGTGCTTGAGACATATCAGTGTAACCTATGCTGTCTAAATTGAATTTTTGAGAACATTGGTGACCATAGTTAGGACATGACTTGTGTTGTGTCAATGGCTAATTATGTCTGATCCTGATACATAGCCTTTGATAAGTACGTTCTGCATCACTGGCTGTTCAAGGTTGTATTGAATGAGCTTTATCTGCGTTACGTCAATGCTAATTAAGGTACGATGGCACTGTTCTTTCACCGTTGAATTAGGAAATCATATGTTGTCCATCATTTTTTAACGGTTGTGTCCGTTAAATTTGAAAATAAAGTTTATGAAGGTTAAAAGGATTCCTCTGTATACAAAGCATGCACTTTCAGATTTAGCTATAAACTCGGGGTTTCCGTGTCCCGCTCCAAAATATATAGCACTGAGGCTGGTTCTGAAGCGTTTTGCTATCCCAACATTTAAGCAATACATATGGATTTAATCAAACTGTTTTTTTTTAATTAAAATTAAATTTAAGTTAAATATACATGTCTGTACAATGGTAATAATATATTTTCCAACACACTCTTTTTCATTAAACTTTCACTCTCCTTACGCATCAATCTTCTTTTATTTTAAAACTCTCTTTAAAACTTATCCTAAGTATCGATGCTTTTCACTGTTATTGCAATGCATCAATCATTAAAACAATTTCTTGCCTTACTCATTTTAGAATGTGTTTTATCAAGTCATTCACCTCATAATCAACATCAATTCTTTTTTCATTCAATAACTGCCACTTTGTAGTAAAACAAACTTATTATCACAGTATATTGATTTCTTAGATAATAACTTCCAAATATAACACCTTTATCACTTATATGAAAAATTTGATTTGGTTGATATATTTCACCCAAAACTTTGTTGATCCATAATTCAATTGCCTTCCAAATATTTAATTTTATAAGATGTGTAGAATAGGTGAATTTGAGTTTCATCATGTAAATGACAAAATGTACATAATCCATGAGACATTTTCATTTTTCAATAATTTTACCTGAGTAGAAATAGTATTTTGCAAACATTTCCATTGGAAATCGCTACATTTCCTTTTTGCTTTAGACCTACTTAACGGAGTCAAAATCTTTACCCAATTTATGTCATCTTGATATATTGTATCCCAGGTATTTTTGTGATTTGGGATAATAGCTTGTATCCAAAACTAATACTTTTAAAGTTTTATTTGTTAACTTTGTTGGTTGTATTTTCTCATTGTTTCTATTTGTTTTGATATATAATTCTTCTGTTACAGCTATTGGTTCAGTTATTGGTATTTCTTGATTTAAACTCTTGTATCTAATTGTCACATGAGGAAATTGCTTTCTTTACAATAGAGAATTCTGACATCCAGTTATCCTTGAAAAGCAATTTCTCTCATAATTCTTGAGAATTAATAAAATTAGTTCATCCTTTATTCCATATATCTTTTATTTTTGTTATATTTGATTAAGTCCAATTTCAAAGAAAACAGGATTTTTTCTGAACGTGATATTGGTGTTTCCAAATATCCTTTGATTGAGTATTTCTTTTTTTTTTTCTTAACTGGACGGCGTTTTAACATGACCTGCCAACATTCGAGAGAGACCTTATAAAACTGTGAAATACGATTTAATGCTAATGATTTTGTAGTACTACATTTACATATAAAGAGCTCCTTTGAGAACGTAGAATCATATTTTTAAGCCAATATTTCCCTAATGCATTCCAACATTGAACGTCTGAATAAATTATCTTGTATATATTTTTGACCTCCAAGATTGATGTCTCTATAACAGGTTTCTTTAGCAACTTTATTTACATTAGCGTTCCATAGAAACTGGTAAATCATTTTATTTATGGTAATTTTATATTGATGTGGTATAGTTTCCATGTTATATCTTTTATTTTTTGTCTTTTTTCAGCTTTGTATGGTTGCTTCAATCTTTTTATCTTATTTTTTTATTCCATAACCATGCATTTATTCAAGAGGTTTAACCCTTTCTACCCGACATATTTCCTTAAAGTTAGGAGGTCTTTGTTTCCATGTTTCTTTAGTTTTTTGTCTTATTTATTTTTGCACCAGATGCTTTTTCATAATGACGTAAAACACTAAAAAATATTGGAATAGAATTTTCATTCCCAACAAATTGCTGCGAATCATCAGCAAACATATTAATTTTTGGCTTCATGTTTTTCATTGTTACTAAATGGTATCTCAATTCCTTTTATTGAAGCATTTTTCCTAATAGAACATGCCATGGGTTCAGCATACATGCTATAAATTAAAGGTGCTATTGGGCACTGGACGAGAAAGCTTGAAGGGTTTTGAAATGAAACCACTTGTAAGTATATGACTAGACGAATATATGTATGTCATTTTAATCCGTTCAATAAACTGTGTACCAAATCCAATTTTTTAAAGACACATTTGCACCCATTCCCATTCACCTCGATCGAATGCTTTTTGCTGGTCTAAGAAAATAATGCTTCCACCTTTGTTTTCTGTATTTGAGTATTCAATAATATCTTGGATTAAACGAATACCATCTTCTATGTTTCTTCCCTTTACGAATCCCTTTAGGTCGCTCAGAATAATTTTTGGAAGTTCGTTTTTAATACGTTCTACAATAAGTTTTGTTATAATTTTATAGTCGGTGTTCAAGAGAGTGATTGGTCACCATTTTTTTTATATCCTTCCTTTCCCCCTATTTATATAAAAGAGTTATCAAACCCTTATATTGAGATGGGCATAGTTCTCTAGTTCCAAATACATTTATAACAACATTTTAAAACTGTTCCTTGATCAAATTCCAGTTAGTCTGATAAAATTCAACAATAATACCATCAATGCCTGGTGATCGATTGGCATTCAAATTTTTATCAAATAAATTTCATTTTCAGTAGGCAGTTTCTCAAGGTCATTTTTTAACGTCGTCTTTAATAGATACATTTACATTTGGTACTAAGATATTTGCTTCACCAAAATCTATCCCTTCAGTCGTGAAGAGATTACTGTTCCTTAATAATATCAGTTATATCATCTTTATAGCCGCCATATTCACATTTAATCGAATTCCACTATTTGTTTAGTTCTCTACACTTCTCAAGACCTAGAAAATAAGCAGTAGATTTCTCACCTTCCTTACACCATTTTATTCTACTTCTTACCTTGGTAGCGTTTATCCTGTTTTCATAGTATGGACTAATTTGATTTTCTAAATGTTGAATTGTCTCATGATTAGCATTACACTTTTTAAATTCATTTTCAAGCTGTTGAATATTTCTTAAATTCAGCGTTTAGTAATTTACTTACAAACATAGTGATATCTGTTATTTTTGTTTTAGTAATCTCCCAACACACTTTTATCGAAGTAAATTTATATATTATGTTTTTCCATTCATTATAAAAAAATGTAAATATGTCTCTAAATATGTCAGATTTGATAACCTTTCTGTTCATTTTCCAGTACCCTGGGTCTCTGTTCACTCTAGACATGTTAATTGTTATACAAGGCACGCCATAATGGTCATCTTTCGTAAAGGGACTGAACTCTATATTAGTTTTAGTCACTTTACTGTCTAAAGAGGAAGAAATTAAAAAAACTGTCTATTCTCGATTGTTTATTACTTCTGCTAAATGTGAAGCGTATTATGTCTAAGTTTCTCCTTCTCCGAACATCTTCTAATTTCTAGTTATTGAATTAATTTTGTCTATTTCTAAGTAACTCACATTTTTGCACAATTTCTGCACCGACTTTGCTGTATTGTTTAAGGTTTCAATATGTTTAGACTGTCCTCTCCTTGGTATTATACTGGAAATGTGCAAATGTGGGTTTTTGGAAGAAAGCACTGATACTGTCTGCAGCTTTGGTAAATGAAATTTCAACAGTTTTTATTGCTGGACACATCATTTGTTCCTAGTACTACAAAAACCTCCTGAATATCATCGGTATTTATGTCCTTGGCACGACCAGCCATATCAAGTAGTTCCTGAACTCTAGTGGTAGTAACACCGGATTTGGCGACGATTTTTGTGTTTGTATTGCCTATACACATTCTTTTGCAGTTTGTTATGTTAGGGGTTTCCTCAGTTTTTGGCATTGGTGTAGATTGAGAAAGAATTGTTAATGCCATCTTCCTTTGATTGAGACATAATCAATCAAAAAAAGTAATTATACTTTCTTAACAACAACTTATAGGTCGTGGTACGTGAAATGAACAGACTTGGGATGATCGTGGATGTGTCACATGTGTCTTATCAAACAATGATTGACGCTATTCAGACGTCGGATGCACCAGTGATCTTCAGTCATTCATCAGTGTTTGCTCTTTGCAATCACTACAGGAACGTGAAGGACGATGTTCTTCGAATGATGGTGAGGAAGACAGAGTCGCGAAAGAAAAACGAAAAATATCAAAATATATACAGATTAGAACAAAAAATGACTCAATATACAGATATAATGCTTCTAAATTATCAAACTGTGAAACACATAATATACAGTTGAAATTAATACCAATTATATACACAAAATTACGTGACATCATCAAATGTTCCCAGCCTAACCTTGCTCACTGTATACGTTAGTATATTTTATACGAAATATTACTTATCATTGTCGAGTACATGTAACCATTTGGTTACAAACACCTTTATAATTCTGGAACAAATAAACATGATAAAGCAATTTAAGTTACTACTACCTTTTACAAGTATGTATGATACCGGATAATGAAAATGATATAACCAGTTAAGTCGTTAAACCAATTAAGAGCTACGGATAAGTTACGACTTTATACCTCTATAACCAGGTAAGTTACTGAAACCATTTCAGAGCTACGGATAAGTTACCACCTTATACCTCTATAGCCAGGTATGTTACTGAAACCATTGTAGAGCTACGGTTAAGTTACGACTTTATACCTCTATAACCAGGTAAGTTACTTAAACCATTTTAGGGCTACACGTGAAATACTTTGCAATAACTTTATTCTCAGAGATTGAATATAACGATGAAGTAACTACACAATTCTATAAGTAGTGTTATAAAAAAAATGTCATCTAAATAAACAAAATGGTTGGCAGGTGTCCATCTTGGAATTTGAACACTTGGAATATAACACAGATGTGTATCGTTCTTTGCAGAAACAAAAGAACGGTATCATCATGATCAACTTCTACACTGGTTACATCAACTGTAATCCGGACCACGCTAACACAACAACCGTGTCACAAGTAGCAGGTATATATCATAAACATAACATAATGTTAGATGTTTGAGATTTTCTTTCTATAAATGATGGATTGTGAATAATATAAATCTTATTGCCGTCAACTGAGTAAACCCAATTTCAAAACATCAATCACGCATTAATTCCATTTGTACAATGTAATGGTTCATCGGAAACAAAGTAATGATCCCATAATATTAATACGTTTTGTTCTCCTTATCACTAGATTTAAATGCAAATACCATTCTCTGCAATTTCCTCATCTTCTGTTGCATAGTCTGTGCATAATATACACACATATTTACATGTGCGTTTGTTTCCAAAGTGATTAAATATCGATAATCATTGAGGTTGCCTTTGCAGATCACATCGATTATGTAAAGAAACTGATTGGCGTGGAGTATGTGGCCATAGGTGCCGACTATGACGGAGTTCCGTTGTAAGTATTTATAATGAAAATTAAATAAATGTATTATTTTTGGGAATGATATGTATCAGACATAGGCAATATTCACGCAGGGTCATTTTCGTCCTTGTGTGAAACTCGACATTTGGTGAGTTTACCGACATAAAGGATTACATATACATCATAACCATATGTAAAAGGATTATTTCACAGTGTAAAAGTAATAAATCGACATGTAACACAGGGGCCTGGGTCTATCTCTAGACACAATGTGTTAAACATTACAAATGACTAGTTTCATCTCGTCTGATTCGATAGTGTTCTTTAAATTTATGTCAAACAGTGATTTAAACTGCGTCATATAGTGTCGTCCTACTAGGGTTCATTAATGATTTTTGGAACCAAACGTATAGAATATAAAGAGGAGAGTTTGAAAATCAAAACAATTATCTACATCAATATCAAGTGAAGCTTCATCGACCCTAGAAACCAAACACCATGGTAAATGAATAAAACTTTTAGAAAAAAGGTAATTTGCAGGTACAAATATTGATCCAGTGAGTGACTTATGTATAATGCCGCAAATATATTTCAACAGACAAACATACATTGTATACATTGATATTTTTGTTATAGGAGAGAGTGCTCTGATAGTGAAAAACGCCGTTACATATGTGTTTTTCATTTTAGTATGCCCTTGGAGCTTGAGGATTCTTCAACCTACCCCGTGATATTTGCCGAGCTTAAAAGACGAAATTGGTCGGTGGAAGATCTAAAGAAGTTGGCTGGTCTTAATTTTCTTCGTGTCTTTAGGGCGGTTGAGAAGGTAAGAACATTACCGAACGCTACTTAAATCGATACCGAACCCAAATAGATAACTTTGCAGAAAAGTGTCCATCGACCCTTGCGAATGAATTATGCTGGAATTCACACTGATTATTTAAAAAGAACAACACCTAAGTTATTATCCAACACATATTTAGTGTAAAAAGCACCTAGTTTCTATGTACGACTTGAAATGTCGAAAATGTTATAAATGTTCCTATCACAGATCATACTCCGAAATATATACTGCACTGGAATAATTTATATACGTTTATATTTAAGAGATACCTTTATATATGCCATGGAATCAAGTTTTAAAGAAGGTTCCAAGTTCTGATATACAATGAAATGCTTTTATGCCATTTAACCTTTACCAGTAAAAGAAAACTCAAAACGAACATCTGAACATGACTCCTTATTTATAATATTTTTATATCATTTTAACTGAAAAGTCTGCGTCCAAATTGCAATTTGCTGTGAACAAGTCTATAAAATGATAAACTCAAAAACAGAAAAAAAAATAAGGAAAAGGAACTGAGCCATTTGATTGTTGAATGTCATTTGAAAGGCAATCTCGTCACAGTTTAGCCAGCTGAGAGATGAGTTCCAAACTTAGATACACATGTCAAAGTCAGGAGACATATCTGCTCTAAAGGTAGCCAAAATAAAAAGTAATTCTCAATAGAAGAAGAATCAATTCCATTGGTGAAAACCCCCACCCATGAGTTATTCTTGAATGTTCTGAAATGCCATTCAGAGGATTGATAAAGAGAAAATCACAAACACTTGTTTGTATGTCAAATGAATCACTTTAAGTTCCTTCCTGAATCTAAAAGAAACGATGCAATATCTTGGTAAGACAATGTAGTCTTTAACTTTCATCTTTACACCTTAGTGTTACATGTATTAGTAATATTTTGAAAAGGAGTACATTTTCAAATAAGACATTGTTTCGTATTACAGACTATATCCCATGCCAGATTTTGACTCTAACTGATTAACCCCCTCTTATCTTCCTGCATGTACCAGATACACAATGTAATAGTATATATAATATATGGAGGCAGATACTCTACCTCTATATCTGAAATAGTGTATCTAAATTATTTTATACACATTAAAGTACATGTGTATCATGAATCTGATCCATATAATATAATTGTAATAATTGCCAAGTTAGGATAAAATATCTGGCACAAACTATGCCTATTCTATGAGGTTGGCACATTGATATCCATGTACCTTAAAAGATATCAATATAAACTCATAAAAGGATTTTTTTCAAATATCTATAAAATTATAGAATCCAGATACAAGAAATTGTGGTGTAGGTACAACATGAGTTTCTGGATAATCAGTCGACATCCGATATTGACGAATTGATTTTTGCACCATATCTATAATTTACTAATGAGCGAGTTGACGGTCAGTGATCGGATATAAAAAAAAACTGCTGATAAATGCTTTTAAGTTGATTTGATGGATTTTCAAAGAACACATACCATATCTATGCCGCATTCGTCAAAAAAGTAAGGGGTTTGCTCAAGTGTAAAAAAACATGTATTGATCCTAAGCTTTAGAGGCGTTAATAGCAATGAAAAAATTCAATTGTCTCAATATGCAAACACAAATATTGTCATGGTCTGTATAACAACAGAAAATAATCAATATATAGTAACGTTAGATATTACTTAACGTCGATATCGTAAGCTACCAAAGAGCAATGCAGAAAGACTTTTGAAAACAATTAGATGCATTTATACATTTGTCGGTATTTTGTTTGCTATTTTTACAAATAATTATCCATTACTTGCAAAAACCAAATGGGAACCTGGACCTTATAAGAAATCGCTATCAAGACTACGGTTGTTAAATCGTGGAGGCTAGAAAAAGGAATATGACATGTATGTGTAATCGTACCAGTATTTTGCAACTTTTTGGTATTGATTTTTATATACATTTACAAAACTCTATTGCTTAGATCTGTGATCAGTCTTTTAGATTCACAAAAAACTTGATATATATATAATCATTTTGTGTAACAAGAATTACGCGATTTGAAAAAATAATTTTTTTGCAAGTCATCTTCATGCAAACAAATACAAACTTTGAAAAAAGTCCATTGATAATATACAATATCAAGGTGTTCAATATATCTGAATTGTTCTTTCAGGTGAGAGATGACAAACAAAACCTACCTCCTTATGAAGACATCATTGATAAGGCTGATTACATAATGCCTCATAACTGTACTACCAGTTTCTAGCTCCAGTCAATTCAAAGCGAACGGAATAATTAAAAAAAATAACAGATTTAGCGGTATTATATTTGGTATCTTTTGCGCTTAAATCAAAGCCCTTACTCATGTTGGCGATTATAACGAGTTTCACTAAAGCAATGCATTTTACCTAGATTGTGGTTGTGCTGTTTAATCAACATGGTAATCTGTAATAAAATGATCAGTTCAATAACAGTGTGAAAACTTCAGTAGAAGTAGATATTTTAGCCCCTTTACTAACTGTTTAGTATATCTTATTATTATTAATGTCTAATCCTTGATGTTAACCGTTTTGAGTGTTTTTGCTCGTTTTAAGGTACATTTTGTGTAAGCGGATTACTTTTGAAATTTGGTTTAATTCTTAGAAAGTGTACGCAGTTGTATTTTTGATTCATCAAACATTTTTGATAAATGCGTGATAGAACCCGTTAATTGCTAAATAATTTAAAGATTTTACAAGATCCATTTTTTTTGTTTGAGAGGGGAGTTTGGGGTTGGGTTGGGTTAATCTATTAATTCTAAACTCAGTAGTATTTTTTATTTAAGATAAGTATCGTCTGGAGTAAAATACCTATCACAAATGAGGATTTTTATCAAATTTTATCAAAGGGTCAATACATTCAGGCGATATGGTGAGTTCGAGGCCTGGATAGGGTACGCGTTAAATATCATCGTCAGTTGTGTTACTACGTTCAAATATGTATATTGACATCGAGTTGATGTTTTTCTTAGTAACTCCTTCCTTCAACCATTGTGTTAGTCCTACTTCCAGTTTTCGTCAAATGCTTTATTACATTCTAAGCACGTCGTGAATGTTTTGATGTAATTGTGACCAGATTAAACACCGCAAGCCTCAACTGTACACTATCAAATATCCGAGGCCGTTTTCGTTTTCGATTTTGAGGTGAGTTTTTAAAATTGTTTATGGAGTTTGAAAAAAATATTAAAAAAAAATCAAAATAAAATAAAAAAAATCATGTCTGATGTATGATAACATTTCATATTGATTCCGTCCTTGCAAACTATTATCTCAGTGAAATGGCTTGACTTTCCCGCGCTTAAATGTTGATTCCATATACAAGAATTATATAGGGCTAACAAAATAGAAAAACTGAGACTGAAATAAGAGTAAAAAATTTTTATTTCGCTCGAGGGTCTTGATAATTATGTACTTCCAATTTAAAAAATGTTCTTAATTATCAATGTAACATTTCTTGAAAGGATATTAATTGAATCCTGGACGAAACGCACACCAATGTTATAATTAAAAAACGTTATCTACAAAACGATAAAACGATTGCAAGCATGAAAAAAAGACAGTTTAACAAGTAGACAAATGAAAAAGTTTAAATGTGTTCTAAGAAAGTTAGAATACAACTGTTTGGCTTGTGATGTAAAAATCAACGATATAACCCGTGATATGTTAACAAAGTATAGCCGGAGATCTCATTGTTATAACTGGCTCTCATTTGAAATATAACGTTGATCTATAATAGCTTCGGTGAAACTGATTACACTTATAACTTCTGAAACATTTGATCATAATCATCTCGTACTTTTCGAGAGTCTACCTGTGAATCGTTCCTTTGTTCACGCTCAACTTTAGTTTTGTTGAATAAGATAGAACTTGTGCATAGATAGAAACCCGTACATTACCTTGTTTTTGCTTTTGAATATCATAATTGTTGATTGGAAATTGTTTGTGATAAATCAATAGGAAATAGGAACGATCATTATAAAGCTGCAGCTAAACCTCGTATTACTTTTGTTCTCAAACCTTCAACCAATCACAGTTTCGCTTTGATCGAATCAAGCAGCTCTCAGCCGTTCATCATCATTAATCAAAGGTGTGTTCACAAAACAATTGATTCGATGTGTTTTAAAGACTAAAACAGGGAAGCTTCATCGTGTACCTTTATGAACACTATCTATTGTAACATGGCTGGTATATCATCTGGATTTGATATATAGAAACATTTCACGTGTTGTTCAGAACGATTTAATAGAAGGCTATTTTTATAAAACTCCGCGTTTTATGTTTAAAAGGTATTTCTCGGGGAATATAATATCACATTTTATATAACAATATATTTTCATATAACAAGATTTTTTTATAATATAACATAAAAAAAATCATGATTTTGAAACTACAGTAAACTACTAGTAAATATTTTCCATTGGAGATGAAGAAAACAAATATACGAAAAAAATCTAAATAATGTTATTAAGTTCTTGGAGACGTTTCGACAATTATTGACAATAATCAAATGTCGTTTGGGCTCTGAAAGCAACTTTAAAACATTGTGTAATTGTGAAATAATGAATTCATTTCCGGTGACGTTTGTTTCTATAACGACATTGATGATAATATCAACCAAAGCGTCTCAAGAGTTTAATATCATTATAATTTTAAATGGTGATATAGATATGCAATGCTAACAATATAATGTATATATAAGTAACACAATAACGTACGTACATTCACTTGCTAAGACAATGTCATCACCCTATCGATATTTTATATCGGTTTCGACCGATTGGGAAATTTTAGATATTAACATGATAGTCAACGGATATTTATCAATCTGTACATTTACATCGTAATGCATCTAACTCTATTTTTATACAGAGGACCAGACACTTGCATGTCTTTTTATGATTTTTATCTTTATCAATAAATAGATTTTTTGATGGCGTTGTTTATGTTGTTTGTCGCGTTTATTCAAGAGCAATGGGAAAATACGTTCAAATAAAGCTTAATCCAAATTTGAAGTCGATTGAAAGATTTGCATGGCGATCTTTGAAAAAGAACACCAGAAGTATTTCAGAAAGGTACGTAAGCATTTCATTCGATAACATCAGCCGTGTACACTTCAATCTATCCAAGTACGCACATAACAAGACGAGGTACTCCGGTAAGATAAGCACCTTCTTTTTTAACATTGAAATGCTTAGTTTACATATGACTGCATATGTAACATTTTATACAGATGTATACGGTTAAGATACAGGATGTTCATGCTTCATGGTTGACACATATCTACACATTCAACCAAGAGCAGTTTACATGTAACTGCAAATTGTTCTTGGAACAGCAGTCAAAATAATAATGTAAAGAATTTTTACGGCTGTTAAGTCGATCCAGGACTGCATATGATTATAGAAAAAATGCATTGTTATCATACTTATTATTTCATGATTTACTTAGAATCGTACAGCTACATACGACTTCAGTTTTCATACCTAGCGCCATAAAATTTACTGAGGGTTGTACAGCCTTACATTCCATAGCATGCCTATGACGTTCGCATATAACACAATATGTACGTTTCACATATGATTGCATATTAAAATGGCACTTATAGGTATAACAAATATCCATTAAATATATTCAAGTTGTCAGTGAAAAATTCCAAATTTTCGGACGACAAAGCGAGTCAGCTGTGATATATTGGACACATTATTATTTATCACAATAAAGCTTGGTATCTTGTACGATTCAATTAAGGTCTTCCGGAATAAAAAGAACTGCAGCTGTGTGAATCACCTGCGAAGCTCGATCTTTACATCACTTAGACAATAAATGACCAACTTCCCACTGAGCTGTTGGTTTTTTTATATACACTTTTCACATTCCTTTTTATACGTAGTTACATATCTGCTTCCATAGCCACTGTTCTAACCGCCAATTGATTTCTTAAGACGGTTCTAATTTTGAGAACTGGGTATTGCATCCACCAAGCTTAATTTGTATGGCGGCTGTCAATAACGCATGATTTTATTGAAGGTCTGTTCTTATTTCCTTTGTACTTTCCACAAAGTTCTTCCCTATTGCCTTGATTTTCATCATTGTTTTAAAGATATAATAACGGTTTTCATTACACCTAGGTATTATTCACATAAATTTAAACTGGTTGTTATTTGACATCCAAGCAGTTTTGTAAAATCATCATCCGACATACGGTTAATTTATAAATTATGTTTTGATCGTAAAAACAGGAAGTGACATGTGTTAAGCCATGGTATATTTCGACGACATACTGCGACAAACATCTATTGAAAAGGAGCTAAAAATTGTCCCGGAAAAACTTTATGGACAGTGTATCTAGAACAAGGCCTTAAATGTTCTCCTTTTAAACAATACAAATCAGAATCTGTTTCCCGCAGGTACGCTGCAAATGTACCGAATCCGCTATTCGTAAGAATAAGAGCATCGCACTTCACTAATGTGAAGAAATCTAAGAACTGTTTCAAAAATCCCGCGCGTGGATCATTTCTACCCTTTTGATCAATATGTGTAATTTTTCCTGGAGTGTCAATTATGTTCTTAGGATAACGGTTCTTCGCTACATTCTTCATTTCATTTGCGTCTGATGCAATGAAGAAGTCATATTCCGATTTGTTCAATTTATCAAAATATTTCCATACATCATCGGTTGGAATTTTAGGTCGTCGGTCGTCGTACGGCATATTCTTATTTCCTCCTACACGTATATGAGCACAAGCTATCTTTGGTCTTTTCCGATATTTTTTCTGTAGCTCGTTTAATGCATTGCCAAGAAGAGGTGATGGTTTGAAGAAGAAATGAAACAGCTCCTTATACATATCGGCATAATGTAATTTTGTAACCCAAGCAACTTCATTTCCTATATGTGGTCTTTTTCTAAATTCATTTGTAAAATCCCAGTTAACACGAAGAAAGCTAACATCATCGTGAAAGTAATTGTTGATGTCAAGACTTCCGTTCAAATATTTCCTTAGTTTTTCAGATTTACGTGCGCTAAGATCTTGATAAGATTTTGTTCTGTTGAGAAGAATTGATCGGTTAAATCGCCAATCGAAATGAGCGGGGATTAGATAATCTTCTAGAGGGCATGGTTTATCATGGTTGATCAGTAAACGTCGATTGGTAAGAAGAGCCATGATCAGGGTGGAAAGAATTCCTGAAAGTCGGTCAGACCAACCACCACAAACACCGCTGTTGGCCTTGCTGCAGTCGTATACGATGTATTTCTGTTTTAGATCAGCAGCTGTTGTTAGAAAGGATTGTCCAATATGTCCTTTAAGATAAAGTTTTTCATTTTTTCTTGTGGTACCATAAGATTGCTCCTGAATTAGAATGGTGTCGTTGTTATATATGAGGTGCTTGTAAGAGTATCCAAGCAAAAGGCTCATGACTGCTAAGGACACCCACAGTACTACGATTAGCCAACATCCACATC